CAATGCAAACATGAAGTTTATGCTGACTGTTGTCCTATGAGTAATAAAGCCATTTGTCTATGGCCCCATATTCTTGCATCTCCTGCTAGCGTCCGTGAAATTGAGGCAGACAAATTTGTTAGCTTGCAAGCAGGGAAAGCCTTATACATTTCACAGTTTCTCAGCAGAGCCCGTTAGAAGTAATGTGCCCTCCTGTCAAAAATCTGAGTTCAGCGGAAGTCCCCTCTGCACTCTGCTCTGTCCAGCAAGTCAGAATGAAGCTACTGTGGAGAATTCTGCTTATTTTAGTATAGCGGATAACGGGAACTACATGGCGTTCAGTACTCTCTGATCTCTCTGTGGAGGAAGTCCCAATCTATGGAACAGTTGTTTTCTAGGGATTTATTTATATGTATTTTTCAATGGCAATAACTTTAAAGACAGCAGTTAGACCTAGCCTTAGTTATTCCTAGACTAGCTCTCTAAACTTATTAGGCAGCTTTAGTTTAGTGGTTTCTGCAGCTGGACTATCTAGATTCAGATCCTTTCCCTTCCATGAGCCAGATATGTGTGACCTTTGACAAGTTATATTAATCTCTCAGTTTCCTCACTTGAAAATGGAGTAAGCAACACTAACCACCGATAAGGTCCTTTTAAGGATTGAATGAATAATGCATGCCTCGTAAGCAACTCCTTTCCAGCCTGCTGTGATAACCATTCAATAATATGGCCACTTACATACAATTTAAGCGAACTTGATCATCACCCATAGTCTTGCTCATAAGACATATGCTGTTCGAGATGATGCTTATTATGTACTTCGATTTCCAGGGGAGGGGCTTCCATTAGAGCAAGTACTCTTAACCTGAGGTTCATCGACACTTTTAGGATATCCATGAACTTTACATCCTTATTTTTTCTGATGTCTAACTTAAATGTAGTATTTCCTACAAATATGAATACTGATAACAAACCACAGTAGTATTAACAATGTCTATGAATTTGTATCGAATAGAAATCATAGATGTTTTCTTTTTAAAAAAAAAAGATTTTATTTATTTACTATTTAGAGAGAGGGAAAGGGAGGGAGAAACAGAGGGAGAGAAACATCAATGTGAGATAAACTGACTGGTTGCCTCTTCTATTTCCCCAACTGGGGAACCTGGCCTGCAGCCCAGGCATATGCCCTGACCGGGAATCGAACCTGCGACCTTTTGGTTCACAGGCCGGCACTCAATCCACTGAGCCATACCAGCCAGGGCAGAAATCACAGACATTTTCATATGACATTTCACTGGTTGCAAATATCTCAAAACATCATTCATGCTCATCACTACTTTGAAATTATAATACTAGTCCTGCCACTAAATCTTATTATTTAATGCATTAACAAAAAGCCTATATGACTTATCACAAATTTATTTATTTATGTTTTCAGGGTTGTATTTTAGTGTAACTGGCTTCCTTTTAATGCCATATATAATTTACTTTATGCACATGAAAAGATTATTCTGAGAACAGATCCATGCTTCACCAAACACCAAAGGGGCCTATTGCCTAATCCCCACGGTTAAGTAGCTTTGCAGTAGAGTAAAATTGGCCTTGTTCTGCCCACTCAACTCTCTCCAGTGAGAGGGCCAGACCCATGGGGAAGTCCCGTCTGCAATTCTCCAGTCCTGCCTGTGAGTGAGTGGAAGGATCCCCTAATAAGATGGGACAGTATTGGGAAACCTACTTGACCCAGTCCAGACCTAAATTATTATTAGAGAGCTAGTCCTTAGATGTATGAGCATCATGTATGAAGAGAATACACTGATGTCCAGCTGTCTGACTCCTGAATCTCTCTCTTTCAAGTGCTTCCAACTACAGCAGAGATGGCAGTTATTAGGTCTTCTCCAACAGCAACATATAGCTAAGTGGCAGATGATAATCTGTCATTTCAACCATGTGTCTTGGGGTCTCTGCAGCCATATGGTGGGCCCACTATGGATGGGTCTCTGCCCTGCCCTGCTTGAGGCAGTGGAGAGGGCAGCATGGTAAAAGACACCATCTCTGAACCCAGGCAGCTTGGGTCCAAATATGGGATCTGATGCTTCATAAATGCGTGACCTTGAGCAAATTACGTAAGCTCCTAATGCCTTATTTTCTCATCCATGATTGCACCTTCCTTACATGGTCTTGGCAAGGGCTGAGTGAGTTAAATGTGACACGGAACGGTGCGTAGCATGTAGTGAGAACAGAGTGGGGAAAACCCTGTATTTAATAGCCTAGGTAATTTTTAAAATGTAGTGAAAGCAGCTAAGTATATTTTCCCTGCAGATAAAATTCTGAAGTCCTGGAGATGGATTACTTCATTAGATTTTATGGAAAAAGATACTTAACTAACTGAAACACTACTAAGCCTCTGAGAAGGTTGTCCTGTCCCTTACCAAGAAGAATAAGCTCAGCTTTGCCTAGTGAACAGGTGGTTGTGGTGCATTCAGGAGGCAGCACATGACAAAAACCAAAGACAATATTGGAATCGGTGGGAAGGTGGGACATGGGAGAATGGATCCTGCAGATGGTCTGTCCAGCGAGGAACCTACCACATTTCTGTTGCTTTTAAGAAATAAACAAATATCCTACGAGAATTAGGTGTTTCCCCCCAAATTTTCTCAAGACACACCTAAAATAAATAATAGATTTTTAAACTTATCATTTGTACATAAGTACAAATTCTCTATGCAGATACAGATCCCTGGACCTCATGGGGTGGGCAATATACTCTTCTGTCTGGATTCCTGTTTCCATTATCTCCTTGGTCGGAGTTTTGACCTCGGACTTTGGGTATGGTGATAGCCACTAAAATCTTGAACCTTCTGGTATTTGCCATTCTCTCTCTTCTGTAATCATCTCTGTATGTATATTCATTATGCCATTGAGACTTGACTTAGGATGCATACTCAGGATGCATACTATAGGAATGGTCATCTGTAGGGGAGTGGCGGGGAGACATCTGTATCCCGCATCTGGCTTTTTTAGGTGAATTTCCTCTTCCAGAGATTAATGGATCGTTAAAAGACATCATGATGGCCCAGGAGACTTTATCACAGTGGGAATCTAGCTTATATTGCTCAAGTACAAAATTAAGTGAGTTTCGATAAGATCTATATTCTAAAGAGCTATGGCACTTTTCTTTGGTATCTATATTCTCCCCATGACCCCTCAGGTGAAACACAGTGCCAGTAACATGGGACTCCTCCCTATATACTTGTTTGAATCAGTACATTCTCTGAGATTTTACCTAAAGGGAGATATTCTCTCCTCTTCATTAGTATGGCAGCTGCATTAAGTACCAACTCTGGTGGTGATCACTAGAAAGATATAAAAAAAAAGACCAGAAAGGGTTATCTGAAACAAACTGAATTTATTTGCTTGCCTGGAAAGGGAGTGCACAACATCAAGAACAAGGTCAGCAAAAGGGAGGAGGTACATCAAATCGGGTGAGAGTCTGAGTTCAGGTCTCTGGTTGGTTCCCAAGGCCGAGCGCAAACGCTTCTTTGCAACTGATCATTGCACCGGCTCACTTCAGGAAAGTGCGGGCACCATTGCCAAGAGGCCCAGGGGGGGTTACGGAGGCTCAAACGGGTGCAATGTCCCTCAGGTGGCGTATCTGAGGTGTTTGAAGTCGACCAAAAATCTTGCCTTAACAACATCGGTAGCACATTAGCACAGCTGACTTCATCGAGGAAGACTCACTGGTCACCTGTCCATTCACTCATCTCTTCTGGAACTGCCAGACCAAAATAACATGTTTAGTTAGGGCAAAAGGCATAAAAACATACACGTATACGCAGAAAAACAAGTCTTATGTAGACAGGGTACCCTTCAGAGTTGTAACATAGCAAAATATGAGACACACACACACAAATACTTATACACACATGTTCACACAAACATTATATACAAGTTAAGAGGTGGAAGCAACCGAAATGCAAATCCATGGGAAATTAATAAACACATGTGGCATATTCAAACAACGGGATATTACTCAGATGCAAAAAGGAACCGAGCACGGGTTCATGTTACAGCGTGGATGAGCCCCCAAAACATCGTGCCCAGGAAAAGAGGGCAGACATAAAAGGCCACATACTGTGTGATTCCATTCGCAGGAAAAGTCTAGAATAGGGAAGTCCGTCCAGGCGAAGGCAATGGGTGGTTTCTGGGGCTGAGGAAGTGGAGGGTGGGAAGCAAGATCCAAAGGGCTACAGAGATTTCTTTGGGGTGATGGAATGTTTTCAAAACAGAGAAGGTGGCGACACAGCACTGTCAACTAGTAAAAACCGCACACCACACGGGCTGTTTCTTATGTCAGTTACACCTCAATACAATGAGAGGGAAAAAGACAACTGAAAAGGCCAGGGACCTTGGAGGCCCATGGCACCCCGCAGAAGGCTGGGAGCTGAGGGGCAGGGCTAGCGCACAGCCCTCTCTCACTGAGCCAGGCAAGGGCGAGAAAGGGGAGGGGCGGGCTGCGCTCCAGAACCTGACCAGGCTGCAAACACTTGAAAGGCAGACAAGCAAAACTCATTCCCGAATGTTTAGCTGTTTGCCGTTCTGCTAATATGCTAGAGTTATAAACAACTTTTATAGAACACCTCTACAGAGTTAGAAAACACTTCATAACGAGAGAAAACGAACCGTCCCAGAGTGCCTTTTCCAGGCCTCAACTGCCACCTGGGACCACGGCCCTGGCCTGCAGGTCTGCCCTGGTCCGCTCCGCACACTGGGCGGCCTCCCCTGTCCTCAGTGCGGGTGTGACAAGCATCTCTTTTCAGAGGCTTTGTACATGTGTAACGGTTGATTCTCATACATTGCGCAAAAACCTACTGAACTAAACAAACACCCAAAGTCCATCCTCCTGAAAGGTATTTCTAATATTTCATAGGCCACTCCAGTATATGTCATGTACTGTGAAACCACTGAAAAGGCTGGGACCTTCTGGTCGCATGCTAACGTGGGTGAGCCTTGCAGACGTCATGCTAAGTGAAAAGGCCAGCCACAGAACGACCGCTGCTGTAGCGCTGCACGCACACCAAGTGGCTACAGCAGCGCGACTCAGAGGGACAGAGCGAGCCTGTGGCCCGCCAGGGTCTGGGGGACAGGGAGGCGGGCGGCTGGGGCTCCCCGAGCGCAGCTTCACTTTTGCAAGTTGGAAACAGCTCTGGAAACCTCACGTACACCGTGCGACCTGAAAGTGGTTAAGATGGTACCTTTCAGGGGGTGTGCTTATTTAACTCGGCAACATTTTCAAAAACCATTCATCTTGCTAAATTAATTTAATTTTAACTTTACCGGTATTGTAGATACAGTGTTTCAGGGAAACAATAGCCTTCAGGAGTTTAAACTCAGCCTAGTGTGGATCAGATACGCTTTAGAACCCTAAAATAGAAATGTCTCTGTTAACAACAGCAACCAAAACAATGACATAAGCCAAAAAACCCAGGTTATCAAACACCTCCTGTTTCTATGTAAGAATCACAGGGCTGTGCTTCTGTATCAAGTTTGCACGTCTAACAATGGAAAATACTGACACATTAAAATAATGTGGAATGAAGTAAAAACTCCATTGTTTTGGAGTGATGCTCTGTGGTTTTCAAAGAGAGGACACAACGTCAGACTCAGGATCTGGGAGTGCCAGGTGGGCCCCCATTCCCTTTGCCTTTGGCCTGGCTCGCTCCCTGCTGGCCCCCACGCAGCTGAGCTATGCGGGCCGCCACTTGGGGCGGCAGGGCTCTGAGCCTTACCTGCTGGGGCTGCGGTGGCTGCTGCGGGGAGACAGCCGAGAGCTGGGCCGTGGGTCGGGGGCGGCCCTGCCCAGGTGTCCCCTGGGCAGAGCGGGGCTGAGCCTGCACCACAACCTGGGGCTGCAGAACACTTCCGACTCCACTGCGGTTAAAGACAGCACTTAGCTGCGCGGATGAGGCTGCTTGCCCACTGGCTGAACGTTGTGCATTTGAGCACTGTGACACTAGCTGCTGAGGAGAAGTAGGCGGCTGCTGAAGCTGTGGCCCTAAAATCCACTGGCAAAGCAGCTGCTGCGGTTTCTGGGTTTTCCAAATGTCCACATCTTGTGGAGCCCAGAGGACACCTACGGGCCTAAATTTTGAAAGATCTAGATTATGCTGAGCACTTCCTTGTGAAGGAGCCTGTGACACAACAGGCTGGCCATTTGGTGGCCGGCCTCGTGGAGGCGGGTGGCTGGGCTTGGTTGCTCCAGGAGCCCTGGCCCTGGCACTAGAGCCCTTCGTGGGGTTGGCACCTCTCACGACAGTCTGGGCCGCAGGGACGGGACCTGCCGCTTTGATGGCACCGAGGTCAGCAGGCTTGGCCTTCACCTGGCTGGCCGGGGTTGTCTGTGACGAGTTAGCCGTGGACAGGGAGGCTGCAGGAGGGGCGCTAACGTGCTTCACCTCCACAGAGGATTTCCGAGGAAAGCTCGGTGGCTTAGAAGCAGGGACAGGAGACGGCAATTTACGGAGGCAAGAGCGCCTTGCCTGCTGGGGCGTCAAGCCGCTAATACCTGAGGAACTGTTTCCTGAGCTGGAGAGGAGGCTGATGGGTGGAGGGGTGTACTGGACTCCCTCCTCTGGCACTGAAGGCTGAGCTGACATGGCCCGAGGCTGTCCTGCTTTTCTCCCCACAGAAAGCTGGCTGAGGGGGGCTGGGTCGCTGGAGCCCGGGGACTCCTCGAAGGCACATTCGGCGCTTAGCGGCACCAGTTCCTCAAACAGACTCTGCAATTCGCCAGTGTCAAGGTATGACTCAGGATGCATACTATAGGAATGGTCATCTGTGGGGGAGTGGCGGGGAGACATCTGTATCCCGCATCTGGCTTTTTTAGGTGAATTTCCTCTTCCAGAGATTAATGGATCGTTAAGAGACATCATGACGGCCATCTTTGTTGTCTGGGGCTGATCACCTGCTTCACATCCATATAGAGAATCATCATCACATCCATATAGAGAATCACTATCTTTTACCCAGTTGGCTTGCCAGTCTGTTAGTGGTGACTCATCATCATATTTGACAGAACTCTCCTCTGTAGCATATTTCTCTACATCCACCTCAGAGGGGACCACCAAGTCACAGGGCCTCTGTTTCCACATATCCATACAATTTTCTGCTCTGGAAATGTTGAGGTCATCCTGCTGAGCTGCTTGACTTTCTTTGCTTTTTTTGTGAGGCGCCGGACTAGAAGACAGCTCCTGCTGCTGATTCAGGGAGGCTGTGGAATACCTCTTGAAGCTCCTCCTCATCGCGGGAGTGTTCATCTTCTGCTGGTTGTAGAGCAGCCTGTTTGCAGTGCAGGCGACTGAGACAGAAGGATCAAGGCACAGGGGTTCAGCGGTGGCTAGGATCAGCTCGCTCTCAAGTAAAAGTTTGTCTTCCTGGCTCCATTCCGGGTGATTGCTGCCTATGGACTGCACGTCGCAGGCTAACGTCTGCATCGTCGGCCGCAGGAGGACATGCCTGCTTTGGTAGGCAGGGGGCTCCGCACCACCGCACTGCCTATAGTCCCGCACCTCTGCTATGACGCACCCACGGTGAAAAATGTTCAGCTCGGACTTTTCCAGAAGATCCACCAATGCAGGAGGCAATTCCTCTGCATCCAGATACTCGAGAAATTTCTTTTCTTCATACGGCAGTTGAATGGGCTCTGACTGTGGTTCGCCCGGTCCCTTGAGCATCAGCGAATAGCCCTCCTTCCCTGGGTACAGGTTGACCACCAAACGGGGCAAGTCCTCCCTCTGAAGAAGCTTTTCTAACAAGTGCACATTGCTTATTAATTCCTCCGTAACCTCGGGCTCTTTTCCACATTCCTCAACATATAGGTCATACAGTTTGTCATGGAGAGATTTTTCCCCACTAGGTGGCTCTTCACTTTTAGGAGGTCTCTGCCGTGCACTTTCAATGACACACTCCGCGCCATCCAAAGCCCGTTCTAAAGCTTTTTGCATTGTGGCATAAAACGGGGGCCCTAGAAGAAGAGAAACCGTAAGTGCGCTGGTGCATGCGGTGAATACGCCGTCTTTAATGTCTATGTATCTTTTTGCCAAACCCACATCTCCACGGTGGAGCCACCAGCCTGACTACAAAACAGGCACCAAGAAACCCACCCCCCAGAAAGCACTCCATAAAAACTTACGATTTGAGGGTGGCTTACCCGTGCAGGAGTCTTGCAGAGGTCGCCGACTCACAGTGCCTCGAGGACTGCAGCCTGGCCGGACTCTCCCAGGCACCTTTGCGCACGCGCACAGCGCCCTCTGCAGCAGCGCGCCTGACGCCAAGCTTCATCCCACTGTCGCCTGTCCGTCACCTGTAGGGGGCGTGAGGCCCAAAGCTCACACTTCCTGTGCCGGCACCGCCCCCCCTCCCCCGCCCTGATCTCTGAACAACAGCATCTGGAGGGATCGCTTCTTTGACTTTTCTGGTGAAAGCATGCCAACAAAGCAGAAGCCACCCACGAAAAATGCATACTTCTGGGGTACGGTTTTACTACACAGCGTTGGTGCGGGAATGCAATTGCTGGGAGAGTCATGGAAGGTGGTCGTTTCTTTTGTGGGCGAGCCTTTCGGCAGGGATTGTTGACAGTTCTTGGAATCTCTTGTCATCAGTGGCGAGGCTGCCCCCAGTGCCCACCAATTTAACACACACCAAAGTGTCCACATTTGCGGCTTTTGCATATGTGCAGGCTTTGGTGCGGGCGCCGCCATTCTTCAGTGACTCTTCCAGCAACCTCCTGCCCACGGGTTTTCACGGCCTCGCAGATGTGCAGGGAGCATCCCCTTCTGATACTTAAGTCCTGACCTTCCATCTCCCTATGTTTTGCACAAGGGCATTTTGTAATCTGTTACACACTCTGAGGGAGGTAAGTTATATTGCCTATGAATTACAGAACTAAACTCTTTCCATAGAAGGTGATTTGCACCTGATCGGGTTGAAAACCATTGTTCTGGGTGATGGCAGCAAATTTAATTGAATACCATAACTGTAGACCATAGCTACAGTGCTAATGGTGGGCCTGGACTGATACGGAGTCTTGGATGCTTTCTGGGACATCGATTTCCCTTACTTCTCTTGCTTTGAAATCGGCCAGCCCTTTTGGACAGATTTCCAAGGGAATCTCTTGCTGTTTCGACGTAGACATGATGATAAAATGATATTTCCAGTGAAGTCTCACAACTGAGAAGAATCTAAGACAACATGGTGAAACACCTGAATTACAGACTAGTATAAAATAAATGTGCTTTTTTAACTGATGGCAATTATGATAATTATATACATAGTAGATACAGTTCCTTGCTGGAGGATTAGAGTCTTCCCGACCAAGGGTTCCTCAAAGACGATCCTCATTTGGGACTAGACCAGAGCAGTTTTCTCAGGGCATATGAATTGTTTGGGGCAAAGGTACACTTGTGGAGTACCTCAAGGAGGTACTAGATGAAATCAGTTTAGTTTCTGAAGTCTTTTCAGCATCTTCCCCTGTCTCTCTTTCTTCCCCTCCACATACCCTAATTTAGGTAAAGCGTAAGACAGGATAGCTAAATCTACTTTGCTACCCGATAATCGAAATATCTGACTTTAATAAAGCCTGAATCACTGAGGTCAACGTGAGCTCTGACTCTCATTCAAAGCACTGCGTTTTCCTTCCCGCGGGAACACGTGAACTCAGCTGCCGACCAGACTCGTGCAGGTTTCTCACCAACCGCGATCCTGTTCCCCCAGACTGCTTCTGTCCCCCAGAATTTGCTGAGTGTTGGGTTTGATTAAGGGGCAGTCTGTAATAGTAGTCCATGAGGTGGAGAAGCCAATTAGAAAGGCAAAGCTCTGCTCTCTTGTTGCTGGGAAGCAGGCGTTTTTTTTGTTGTCGTTGTTGTTGTTTTGGATGAGAAGTGGCGCAGTGGACCTGTGTTCAAGTGTGGCTCTCATCCCAGAAGTGAAAGGAGTCCATGACTTACGTGGGACACTTCTGGGCTGCAGACTAGGCTTTCTGTTTTCTTAGCATTGTACCGGAGGAAGGCCGGGCCCAGGCTGAGGCTTGTGGGGTCTGGGGTACAGTATGAAGATGTAGCACAGGAGCTCCAAACCCAAACCGGGGAGTTTAAGGGTTTGTGATATCCTGAAAAAAACCACCCAAAGAACTAGCAGATGTGGACATGCTGTTTATTACTCATATTATAGGAGAGTGCCCCGACGGCAACTAGTCGGTGCAAGAGGGACTGCACCTCTTCAGTCTGAGGCTTGTTATAAGGGGTCCCAGACAAAGGAGGCATGTGTCCTCCATTGACTCTAAAGTACATTACCTCAGTATGTAAAGGGTCAAGAAGCAGTCACAGGACAAGAAGCCACTCACAAAAGGAGATAAGGAGGTAGTTACATAACCCAAACAATACATATTCCTCTGGCCAGTGGCCATCTGACCATCTCTCAGTCATGGAAGGGGGGAGGGCCATGTCCATGGACCCCACACTCTACCCCAACATTGCTCTTCCACCTCACATTCTTTGCATTAATTCTACTGATAGGGGACCTACGGGTTGAGCATATTGGCACATTGCATCCATACACCACAGGTACACTCCAAGACTAAAACCGCAAGACAGAAACCAAAGAGACCCAGGAGGAGGGAATGTCACCAATAGTCTGTGGCAGTTGGTACCATAATATTCTTGCACAGGGGCGCTGGTATCCACCCCATGAGTTGCACAGTTTCATTTGCAGTCCCATTTCTGTGTTCAATACATATAGGTGCAGCCTGTCATACTTTTATCTATAATGCTGACAGCCATCCCATTCTGTCCCAAACTGCATATGTGAGCTATGGCTTGGTGCCATTAGCTTGTTCTCTAACAAGGGAAAACACCTTCTTATGTGTCTGTTTGAAGAGAGGGTCAGAAGCCTTCCAGCCTTGCAGCCAGTCCCAGCATGTCTCGTTCTCAGGGTGAATCCACCATGGCAGGCTGGCGGAGGCCAAGGTTGGGAACTCTGTGCAGACCCAACCATCTGAGCAGTTGTTCTCAGCAGCCAGCATTACCACCCATTGTGGGAAGGTGTTATTTCTGCAGAATCCAACCAGACAACCCCCAGGAATTTGACAGACAAACCAGCTTAACAAGGACATAGTATACATTCTATGAAAATATAAACAAAGGATAGTGGACACAGCAAATCATAAGCCAGTTTCTGAGTCTGCAAGAGAGTCAGATAAGAAGACTTCCAAATGCAAGGCTTTTGCTGGAATGAAATTAAGCAGTGACAATGTGATATATCCTCTTTCTCTATAGTTTAAATGTCTCTGGTGATATCATCAGGTGCTCAGGTAAATTCTTTATGGTTGCTACTGCATCAGCAGTTCTCAATAGTTCCAAATCAAAGGATGAAGGAAAAAATGAAACACTAGTGTGGAAGAAAACTGGAGAAATTCAGGATCCAATCTAGTTCATAGGTGAGAAATAAAATTTTACAGACAGTTCACTGAATTAAAGTCTACTTTCCATAATTGTGTATAATTGATTTTATTGAAACATAATTTTATCCCCTAAAATCACCCTCATTTTTATCAAAGAGTCAAATCAAGACCTATTCATTTACTGTATTAGGTCCAGTTTCCATTTGGCCTGATTATTTGCATAAACACAACAGGAATAACAATTGATCATGTAGGCCCTCTTAATTCTACTTTGTGGGAACATTACAAGGAATTCCTAGATTGAGATTTAATTAGCCCCCATGGCTGGGAAGCCAAGCCACACAGTTTCCATCAGGCTGTGCCTGCAGTACTTGCCTATTTGATAAGTTTCTTAAGTTCTTGAGGTCCCCAAAATGTCTTGAGGTTCTTCCCATGCTTACTTTCAGGAAAGTAAACTTTGCTCCTTACCTGGAAAGACTACCATGAACCACATGACCAAGCAAGGTACCAGGCTGTTTCTCCAAGGCGCTTCTATTGGCTACAAAATCAATCTTAATTCCTTATGGCTTTCTGATGACATCTAGAGTCCAGATAAAGCCTTGGTTAATAGAATAACACTTGGAAACTGACTTTATGCATTATGTTATGAAGAAATCAGATTCCTATTGGATTTATGCAAACAAACATATTGCCATGGAAAGAATAGTACTCATTGAGAGTTTCCAAATTGCAGAGAGATCAGGTAGGGAGGAAAATTAAATGTCTCAGTATTGCTTATGAAAATATATCTTACCAAATTGCTTTAAGAAACAGAAAGTTTTATTATGTCTGGAAAACAAATAATTAAAAATTAACAATATTTTTTTCAACACAAAGTTATAAAAGCCCCAACTATCTTTAGTTTATTATGTCTAATAATTAATATTTATTTATCCTGAATATCTGCAAGCACCTCTATAAATTCAGTCATTTCACAGAGCACCAGCAATCTTCACTCAGTTCAAAGGTACGATCCGAAAATCCATGCTCAGAAATATATAATCCAAAACAAGTCAGAGTCTTCTCCATGAACCCCTCCCAAGACATATCTTTTTGCAGATGCATTAAAGCAAAACGATGACTGTTTATAAATGACAAAACTTAAAATAACGTGGTTACAGAGTTGAGTATAATGCAGTTGACAACGGAATTTGCTTTCCTGCAACAACAATTTAAGATAACAACTAAAATTACAAATGAAAGTATATCAGAACTCATATAATCTCTAGAATATCTACTTTAGTAATAAAAATATGTGTATACAAATAGAACATGCTTATTATTTCTTTATTTGACAAGGCTTACCGTGTACTTTAAGAATATCAAGTAGGCCTAATTAGTTAAAAAAAACTTCTTTTATAAAAGAGGGAGAACAAGTCTCTGAGGTATTTCAGGGGCCTGTTGGAATAACTCAAAGTCATTCCTCAGCTTAAAAGTCTCTTAAAATTTAAGCTTTGGGAAGGCTGTCAAAAAAACTTAACCAAAAGATTATAACATAAACCTTTTGTA